CATATTCCATATACGGTCTATAGAAGTTATGTATAGTCTGAATTATGAAACAACTGCCGTGTCCACAGTTGCATTCACGTTACTGATTAACTTAGTTAGTTAGATCCGTTTCCATTCCGAGCGAGAATAGGAAATGGACTTGATGGAAAATTATGCTACCTTCATTGTTGAAGAGTAGAATGTGATGTGGACTGTAGTGATTACCTCGATGTATACATCTATTTATTGTTGCAGTTCAAAAATAGAGCACACGGAGAGTAATTGGAGAATGTTTTTTCCATAGTTATTTACAGATTTACTTTTTGTCTATGTCTCTGATCTGGAACATTTTTCAGACGTATCTCCAGCTCTATATTTTAGAATTTTCGAATAATGAAATTGTGACGAATATAAAATCTTAATAAATAATTCAATTTTGAAATTTTGTGCTATTAAAGCTAGCTGGAGAAGTCTTCAACGAGGCAAAGCTTCAATCTTCAAAATGAAATATCTTTTAATTATAGATTTACTTATATACATGTTTAACACAACCATTTTTTAATATTAAGTCTCATATATATATATATATATATATATATGTGTGTGTGTATGTAAGATTTTTAAGCTAATCGAAATTCGATGCGAAGCTTATTCGAAATAATTTAACGAGTACCAAAAATATGAGCCGTTCCAAAATCCAGCGTTTATAATTAAGAGAGAGACAAACTGGAACGATCATTTCCAACTCGCTTTTTTTCCTGACAAGACTTTGTTTGAAAAACAAAAAGAGGAAACAAAAATAAATGTAAACGAACCTTCTCGAAAGGGTAGATTGGAACGTTTACGTATTAAACCGTTGGATCGATTAGGTCACTATCGATACGCTATCGGGGAATTCGATGCAAATCTTGCGGAACACCGTGTACCATGAATACCGAGACACGAGAATGGACATGGCGAGGCAGGCAGGGGTGGGGAGGGGGGATAACGGAATGGGAAGGCAGTACGTTGTCTTTCGCATATTGCGGCGTCCGCGAGAGGAATGTTAGTTACTTCGTCACACACTCGACCCGTCCCATCGCACCTTAGCACGTGTGCGCGAGTGCATCGAGCACTCCAATGAGATATGCAGCATGTCGTTAGGATGCATTCTCGCATCCGACTCTTTCTTTTTCCCTTCTTTTCTCCTCTTTCCTTTTCCTCTCTCTCTCTCT